AGTAGGATATTTACTGTAGCCTTGTTCATTGCTTGTAATGGGGCGTGTCAGGGGGACGGGTTCGGCGCCGTGCCAGCCGTTTCATTTCTTTTATCATTTCGGCCGAGACTGTATGGTGATGAATACATTATAGACTCTTTCAATACCAACTCATTTAGGTTAAAATTTACACAGTGTAATGAGTGCTGGTAAAGCTGTGTAACTTGGCTCTGTTTCAGCTCGGTGGACCCTGTAGACTACGAATGTGACCAGTTATTGGTACGGCTGGACGAAGTAGGAGTGCCAAGTGATAGTTCGAGAGAACGAACAAAGAAAGCAAACGAAAAAGACGAGTCAGTTGGTGAAGCTGCAGGGAAAACACCGACAATACCATTGCACCAGTCACAGACACGTGGAGGAAAAACTCCTGCTGGGAAGAAAACGTTCACACCAAAACCATCTCAAACACCTGTGAGACAAACACCTGCTGGGAAGAAAACCCCTACGCCACTTAATGCAGCGAAAATCGAGCAACTAAAAAAACCAAAGCCACAGGACCTAGACCAAGAAAAAACGCAAGAGGCGTCAGGAGACGAAGGAAAACGGGCAGAACTAAAAAAACGGAAGGAGAAAGGTTCGTTGGAAGATACGGAGCCGTCATCGCGAGCTGAAGCGGGAGCAAAGGCGGAGCCCAAACCTGTTCATAGTGAACGAGCAAAAGAAGCGCTAGCAAAGCTCAAGGCGACCAGCCCGAGAATTAAAACTCAGAGTACTAAGCTGTCTAGGAAGAAGAAGATGCGGGCTGGAAAAACCGGCACTTCTTCGATAGTGTCCAAATCAATGGCATCAGACGATAACCCGGATAATCCGAAAAGTATCTTCTATCCATTTAAGAAGGATAAGAAGTGATATAGTAGTGCATAAGGAAATCTTCATCTTGTTATCATACAAAATACTGTCATTACTCAACCATTGGTAGTCAACAATGGTTGAAATTAATATTAGACCACTCTATTGATTTGTGATTAGTTACATAAAAGGTATTCCATTTTTCTAGTGTCAGCTTAGGGCTGAAAGTCTCGCTTGTACTGTTCATGAAGTGATTTAAACACAAAGCTTCTGTGGCTTGCGGGATTTGCAAGTATGGCAACGAATAAAAAACCTGTTGATCTAGAAGGGGGCTAAAAAAGACACTTTGGCCGAGTCACATATCAGTAAAGTTTACGCAGCCCAGACAGAAGTCGTGGACGAGTACCAGGGCGGAAGATACCCAAGATGTTCCTCGATAAGCAGGAGCAGGCTCTCGTCCCTCATTCATGTACACCAAAATATGAAGCCATCTCCAATCGCAGCCTGACTGGAGAAGGCCTATGGAATTCACGTCACCTCCAAACAGCTGCGAAACTTCTTGTATGGAGTCACCCATGGACAGCCTGGAGACCGGCACTCTTGATCTGGAAGACCTCCAACATCGAGCAGCTCCGACAACGTCGCTACGGTCCAGGATATCATCTTCACCGCAGTTGCCAAGGCGCGGGTTGATGGTATGGTCGGAAGCTCCAGGAATGGAGGGACCGATATTTTCTTCGTGGACCCCGGACTGAAGGTGAATGCTGAGTTACATCGACCAACTCGAGGAGAATATCCTGCCTTCATTTTGTCGCCTGTACCATCTTGGGAACTTCGTACTGCCATATAGGGGAGGGTCAACAAAAAACACTTTCTTTCCTCGATTTCCAAGGCGCTATAAATAACACTTTATTAGATTCTGATTGGACGTATCCACAATCAAATTCAACAAACATTGTACACTATCACGATACTCCGCCACAGCCTTCTGGACGAGCGCCATCGAGAGATTCTGCCACGCGACCGTGATTCGGTGCCTGAGTTCAGCGAGATCGTTGATTTCTCCGCCACTGTAGACCACCCTGTTGAGCTCCGCCCGAGTCCGGGTAATTGAGGGGGAAGGGGGTTAAAGCAGGCAGCACATTTAAATGTTCCGCCTTCATCAGGTACTCGACGTCCTTCTGTTCCAAGTAGGCGAGAGAGTTTTTGCAACGCCCCTCGATGCTGGCACCCAATCCTGTAGCAGTTCGAAGTTTGCAAGATGTGACAGGCGACGAAGTGAAGGCAGGATATTCTCCTCGAGTTGATCGAGAAAACCTTCAGCGTTCACTTCCGGGTCCACGAAGAAATCATCGGTTTATCTATTCCAGGAACTTCCAGGTCCATACCATCAATCCGCGCTTGGCAACTGCGGTGAAGATGATGTCCTGGACCGTGGCGACGTTGTCGGAGCTGCTCGATGTTGGAGGTCTTCCAGATCGAGAGTACTGGTCTCCAGGTAGCTATCCATGGGTGACTAGAAGTTTCGCAGCTGTTTGGAGGTGACATGAATTCCAAAGGTCTTCTCCAGTCAGGCTGCGACTGGAGATGACTTTATTTTGGTGTACATGAAGGTGATGGCGAGAGCCAGCTCCTGCTTATCGAGGAACATCTTGGGTATCTTCCGCCCTGGTACTCGTATCCACGTCTGTCTGGGCTGCGAAAACTTTACTGATATGTGACAGTGACAAAGCAGGAGCAGGCTCTTGCCAATTACCTTCATGTACAACGAAATAAAAGCGAGCAGCTTGCCTGGAGAAGGCCTGTGGAATTCACGTCACCTCCAAACAGCTGCGGAACTTCTCGTACCAAGCACCCATGGACATGGGCACCGGCACACTTGATCTGGAAGACTTCCAGCATCGCTCCGACAACGTCGCCATGGTCCAGGATATCATCTTCACCGCAGCTGCCAAGACGCGGATTGATGGTATGGACCGGAAGTTTCTGGAATAGATAAACCGATGACCAAAGTGTAACTGGACCAAAGTGTCTTTTTTGTTCCTGCCGCTCCGCCTGTATGTTCTAATCATCGTTGCTAATATGACTATGATGAGCTCTCTGAAAAAACCCTTATATATGTGACGTAGTCAGGTTGGTCGAACTAATAGAAGAGACTATTTGAAATAATCGCAGTCTTTCTGGCACCACAGAAGTAGTAGTTTTTCGGGGTGCCCCAAGGACTTTTTGGCTGAACGTGACTACCATTTGTGGCATCCACTGCCAGGACGACATTCTACCAACTCTGCTAAGGCTTGCAATCGCGCGCATCACACACTGTACGTGAGGGGTTTGTCTGTTGTACTGACAGAAGGCTACGTGCCTCCCTTCCTCAGAGCTTCTACACACTCTCCCAAAATTTTCTCTCTCATGACCGATTAACGAATACCTCTTACCCCTTGTAATTTCAATAGTATCTATCATTAGCGGAAAGTACGGTTAGTTGTGCGCTTGAAGGGTCCGATGAAATAGGAATGAAAAGTGTTCACATGCCGAGCATCTCATAGCCAATAGTTTGCCCCATACTTACTAGAAATGAGCTTTTTCAATCCTTCTAGAAGAACTATGTAATAAAAACAACCAAATTTCGTCAAAATGTTGTAAGTATTATTGGCAAGGAATGATATTTGTTTATTGTTGGAGTTCTTGTCCCTCATAAGGAACTGTAGCGGTCGCGGTTTACGCGTGTATACGAGGGATTATCCAACGCAAGGTTGCTTGTCCTACCTCGTAGAATCCTCGGCCTTATGCCAGAAGAGCCCATCACTGATGCCATTCATCATGTCAGGCTGCGTGGAGGGCAACGATACCCATTTTTTTTTTCTTTTCTTTCTTTCGGCAGACGATGAGGACTGTATCATATCATTTGTATGACATGTGTCAGTCGTTTTCCACCAGTTGTTGTTTGTCACTTACCAGCCTCAACAAGTGGTGGAAAATGTGTTTGGCGGCGCGCCAAGCGCAGCCGCGTACACACGCCCAATCATACGCAGCGAAAAGGAATGCACCTAGTTTCCCTGCATCTTGGATGGGCATTCGACCAGTTACCCATCCACCTCAGCTTGTGCTTCAGAAAGCGCTCAGAGAACGGCTCCACGGTGGGACTCAGGCAGCTGTAGGCACCTCACACGGCTCTGCCACAAGACGAGTGACATTGTCGGACACAACAAGGACCAGTTTTGAGCTCGTTTCTGTTTCTCATTACCCTTTCGTGGTGAAATAACTCTCGGAGAGGCTAGTGAAAACCGTCCTTCGCATTAACTACATTGCGATAGCAGCAGAGTAGGACTCCAGGGTAAGGCGCAAAGGCAGGAGTTAGGGCTCGCTGAGGACGAATTCCGACTGAATGTGAAGAACACCTACATTCTGAACTCCATTTTGAAGGTTTGGTCATCACCTTCATCTGCTTTTCGAGAATTCGTCTTTAGGAATCCGGTGTCTAGTTGCGGATGCTCCTAATGTGAAAATCACCTCCATTTAGCGAAAAGAATTTTTAGCGCCCGTAGGGCAGGAACTGGTGGAAAACCATCATGAATCATCGAGTTTGCCGAAAATCGTTCCCAAGTGTAGCCTGACACCCAGAGTGTGAAGAGGACGCTCGTTCAGTGTGGAAAAGCTCGCGTTACAGCCGGGAACGACAAGCGCTTATTCCTTTAGTTCCAGTGCTCGAAGTGGACAACATGGAAACACAACACAGAAATGAGCTTGGAATAGGTCGTGGTACTTCATACAATCTTATCAAGGTAACTTCGAGAGGAACTATTTCCCCGACTGATTCGGTGGGTTCAATTGATTGGTATCTACTAACCATGAGCGGTCGGCCGCGGCCGGGCTCAAGAAGCGCGTCGCGCAGCAAGCGTTCGAGCTCCTCAAAAAGGAAAAAAGGTACGGATCTTTCTCTACTCATCGTACTTTAATCCATACCATTACAAGACAATGAAAGAATTGATAACATGAACTATGGGGTGTCACCTGCTCCACCTGGCCATGAATGTATGCGCTTTCTTAAGCAGTAATGAAGTCAGATGCTTTACAAGTAGAGTTAGCCCCGATTCCTTCACATTGAATGCTTCCTTCAACGCGTACAATGTGAAATAGGCACTTGGTCACTCGCCCATGGTGGACACAGTCCATATTTCGAAGGTACAAGGGGTGGCAACAAAATTGGATGTGGGAGTAGCGAATACAAACACGTTACCATTTTAGGAAAGAATGAGAGGACGAGAGATGCCCCGATTTTTTTTCTGTGACCTCTGTACACTGTTACGCATATGCAGTCGTCTCTATCTGAACGGGCAACTGTCTATCACTGCTACTCCGCGTCCGAGTTCGTAGGTACTCCCCTTCCTACGTCGAGATATGGACGATCCTTTTTTTCTTGCACTGAACCGAAGAACGAACCGAAACAAGAGGAACTCCTTAACAATATCCTACTTCAATCTGACAAACGACCGGGCAATAAGTTGCTGTCAGTGTTAATGCAAACGTAATCGAACGAATGATCTTGATACATGATAGCGCCTCTCAGGCGTACAAGCTTGCGATAGGGAGACGGTAAAGAGGATCGTAATTCGCCGCACCGCCACGCGCGGCGATGGGCGCGGTTTTCATAACTCGTTTTAACCTGTCGAATGAAGCACCGGACTTCATGTAGACCCCGTCATCGTAGACACTCATTACTGTTTTCGGTCCTTAATTGCATGTTGTCGCCATCTAGCCTGAAACCATCGTCCTTTGCGGGCGGACTCGCACGCGACAGCCGCAGGCAAACGCGGCAAATTACGATCCTCTTGCCACATACCCGAGGAGAATGAAGGACAACCACGGTTCATACATACTGCGCCCAACAAAGAACTTGTCAACTCGTTGTGCTGAAATATCACTAGAAGAAATTTGAAGCCCCTAGCTCCATAGCTTTTAATGCTATCTACTTATTCATCTACCTTATCTCTACACTTAGGATGCGTTCATACCTCGCAACGACGTCGGCGATGCTGACGTAACCGACGTTTCCGACGCGA